CGCTTACCAAACGGGTGCTCTAACCAACTGAGATACGAAAGCTTTTCTTTAAATTTTTGTATGTATTGTTCTTAAATTAGGGCTCTTCGGCATTATGCTTGCAATGCCAATACCCATGAACTCATACACTTCGTATGTTATCAGAACGACTCAAAGGTATCAGAATCAAAATTGTATGATTACATGGTGGCTTGGATATAGACATAGTGGGCCACAGTTTAGAACGTCGTACATTTTAGATTCTGCACATAACGCTAACATTTGAACATAGAATTATTTTTGAAGCCTTTTAGTATGAAAAAGGGGAGATGATTCATGATTGGAATGTATACAAACTAATACCAGGTGCGCACAAGCAACACTTTCATTCGATACTTATTGCAGATGAAGACCCCTAATCCAAATACCACAAGAAGTTCGCATCAGAACAATTTCAAGAATCATCGTATAATTTGTAAATATCCATCCAGATCTGCAGCTGCTAGCAACTAGCTCAGCAATGACTAACCTAGTCCACTATTCGAACTTGAATGGATTGGAAAACTGAGGTAGCAGCACGGGGTCGGTTCAGATCAGAGTCGGCGACGACCAAGACTGTGTCTCCAGATTTCACTGAACCCTTCGACTTCATAAGCTTGATGGTTTGATTGAAGTTATCTTCCATGTTATTTGACAGTGGTAGCTGAAGTGGAATTACTCCCCAGTAGAGGTTCATGCTCTTTCTTGAGTTGGCATTATCAGTGAAAGCAAAAATGGGAGGGTTGGGCCGGTTGCGCGAAAGAAGCGACGCCATGTGACCATACTTTGTGTAAACAAAGATGGCATCCACCGCAAGGTTGTTTGCTGCAGGGAGAGTAACCATGAGCGAATATCAGATGATATTATAAAAAGGTAATATATATTTGCTTATCGAAAGAAAAAGGTAGTGGATATCTGGAAAGGATGTATAAACAAGAAAATTAGAAAAATACCCATTTCTGCAGCACTGGTGCAAATTTGCTCTGAGATCCTATCAGGCAAAGCTATTGCAAGCTGATGTTGTGGAAGAAGTTTCTGCATGTTTTCCTCACGGCTCCATGATTCCATCCTCTCACTAGCAGCACGGAGGACTGCTAGAGCTTTCTGGGGATATGCACCTATAGCTGACTCTGCCGATAACATTACGGCATCAGCATATTGCCGTACTGCTTCAGAAACGTCTGCTACCTTCAGAAAGATAATGCCAGGTCATCAAGGAGAAGCACAAAAAGGTTAGGTAGATGGAATTAAAATTTCTTTTTGAAATGTATTATCCGTACATCGTGGTTATATCAACTTTATTTCCTTAAAAAAATAGATTACCTCTGCACGAGTTGGTGTTGGATACTCAACCATTGATTCAAGAAGCTGAGAGGCAACTATCACTGGCTTGTTCAACCGTCGACAAAGATCAACAATTGCCTCTTGGATGGCTGGGATTTGTTCTAAAGGAATCTGAACTCCAAGATCACCACGTGCTACCATAACTCCATCAGATGCCTCTATGATGTCTTTAAGGTTCTTGAGTGATTCAAGACTCTCAACCTTCGCGAATATTTTGATGTGTCTGGTATACAGCAAGATTGTATTAGTACAGCAACTAGCTAGCAGTTGCATAAAGATCTATCCAACAGTAACATAACTGCAAATCCTAAACTGAATAGGGTGGTAACTTTGGCATAAATACATCAGTAACACAAGTTAGTTCTGTGGTTCTGTATTGCAGCTGAATACTTCCAAACAATTGACTTAATATGCTCTGCTGTGAAATAATAGCATCGATTTTCTTTCGTTCTGCACTTCTACCAGGTTTGCATTTCTAGATAAGACAATGTGATGCATTGATTTATAAGCTTAACTGCAGCAGCTCCAGAATTTTCTAGGACTCTCCTTTAGCACATAGACATCTATAATAATAATAAATTGACACATATATATTACGCAACAATCCTGTGAAACAAATAATTGTACACCATTTTACAATAATGCAAAGAAAATTCAGTTTAGCAAACTATAAAAGGACTTTATATGTCAGTTGTCTGCTCACTCTAATGATTTTCTGGAGAGGTAAGTCTTGAGATACTTGATGTCATTAGCATCTTTTACAAATGAAAGAGCGATGCAATCAACTCCTTCAGCTATCCCAAATTCAATGTCAGCCCAATCCTACAAGATAATATATGCACGCAGCAAGCATGCTATGAGAGAACAATTTATGAAATGGAAATATCCAGAAATTCTATCACTTCTTAAGAACTGTCACATGGAAACAGTACAAATGTATTAATTCAATTAACAGAAATACTTCATGAATAAGCCAAAAAAATTGTTGCAGTCTTCAGGGGAAAAAACAAAAAAAATGGGCAACTTTAAGGAAACAGTATAAATGCAATAATTCAATTAATAGAAATACTTCATGAATAAGTGAAAACATGCTGTTTTTTTCAGGAAAAAACAAAGCGACACTACATTGAAAGCGAACAAATAGCAATAATAAAGTACTGCATTTTAAGTTAACCTTTGCTGACAATGTAGGAAGCCCAAAGTTCCTTTCAACTAATTTTCCATTCCTCCAGAATGACAGTTTGGCTCGAGGAAGAAGCAAACCTGGGTCTGTGCACTTACAGCGCAAATCATTTCCGACCTTCTCAATAACTTCAAATGTTGCCATTCCTCCATCAATTACAAGCTCATCACCAACTAGAATGTCTGTAAATGGTATGTAATTTGTGAAAAGAACATTTAAATTCCTGTTATGGAAAACCAGCAAAAGCCATGCAAATCTTCAGACCTTCAGAAAACTTATCAAAGTTAACATGCATTGTGAATGGATGAGATTCATCGGTTCTTTTACTTGTAAATAGCCATTCAGAGCCATCCTGCAATATTTAATGGAAACAAGGAAACAATGGAATGATTTGTGTGAAAGAGAGTAACAAAAATATGTTCACAATGATATTGAGATGCTGAGACAATTACAGATAAATGATAGTATCAATGAAGAGTAGATACTAACCAAAACTCAAACAGTGTATGGTAATAGATCAGGACTAATTCGATAAATTTTGCTACCTCACACAATAACTTGATGAATGGTTGAAGGCGTAAATTACAAAGATCGAGATGACCAAAGTTCATCTTTTTTTACTTGCAGTGCCATACTCTAATGAAACCTAAGCTATAAGCACGAAATAATAATCTAGTACTTCTAGTAGTACCAAGTCCGTAAAACTTTTTAACCATGAATATGTCCTATTAAGAATGCTGTTAGCAAAAAATCTAGTTACTTCAGCTTCTTCGGCATAATGGAGGAACATAAGTGAAGACTTATCTGCTTTAGCATTACAAAGGCTGAAAGGGCTAGCCACTGTCCTTCTTTCGAGAAATACACTAGCAGCTATCCTTTTATTAAGGAATATACTATCTAACTAAGACTGAATTTATCTTAGTCTTTTGCAATATAAAGGATGTATAAAATATGCATACAAATAAATCAAATGCCAAAGGGCCATCTGCTAAATGAAAGTCATAACAATGTCTCTGTACAACAATTGTCATTTAGCAAAACAATCCCAAATGAATGGACATCCTACCCGAATGTTATGATTCAAATCTGGTCACCGGCTAGATCAAATTCAATCAAATTTGACAAAATTACTCCCAAGAAAACACCAATTGTTTTTATTTCAAATTTGGACAACCAAAATACCAAATTGGATGTTTCTAGGATGCACATTTGAAGGTGTGGGGCATTGTTGCGCAATTATATGAAATAATCCCCGGACGTCAATGCCGGGAACCAAATCGACAAGAAAATGGAGAAAGCACACCTCGGCCTTGACGGAGGCGGCGCCGCCGTGGTCGGCGACGAGGAGCTGGGACCCCTCGGTGTCGACCATGAGGGAGACGCAGAAGCCTTCCTCCTCGTTGAGCCTCCGCACCTCGCGCATCACGGCGCGGTGCCAGCCGCGGCCCCCGTGGCACAGGTTGACCCGCGCCACGCCCATCCCGCCGCGCGCCAGCGCCGGCAAAGCCCCCACGCACGCGGGCCCCACCGTGCACACCAGCTTCGTCTTCCGGAGCCCCATGAACCCCTTCTCCCGCAGCTCCGCCTCCGACACCACGTCCATCGCCCCCTCCACCTCCGCCGCCGCCGACGACGCCCGGATCCGGTGGGCCCCGCGGCGGCGCGCCGCCGCGGAGGAGGAGGCGGCGGCGACGAGGTAAGGCAAGGTGCTCGCGGCGGCGGCGGCGGAGGTTGCCATTATGGCTTAGGATTCTACTGCTAATGCGGCGGAGAGGAGGGTGATGGCGGCGGCGGCGGCGGAGGATGCGATGCGAGGAGGGCGGGGAGACCGACTCCTGCGGGTAGTTGAACCGAATTGGGGCAGATGACAAGTGGGTCCGACCTGTCAGGGAGCCAACGGATTGGGCTACTTGGAAGCTGACATGTGGGTCCGGTAGGCAAATGTTGTTTGAGTTTGTTTTTTCTTTTTAAGCTTGTTTTTCCCGCCACAGGATGGCAACTTGTCAAAAGTCAAATATTAGCAGCGTTGAAATTCACACCCATCACAATGGAATATGAATTCGAGCAGTTTTATGTGAATTTGCACACGGTTTTGCAGAAACACGAACGATTGTTACAGCACAGCTTCCAAGTGTTTGCATAGTAAATCTGAAATTTTAATGCTAAGTGAATTTGGCAGGCTTGGTTCTGATTTCAATATGAATCTAACCTGGGCTATGTTTAGTTCCTAAAAAAAGTTAGAAGTTTGGGGAAAGTTGAAAGTTTATGTGTGTAGAAAAGTTTTGGATGTGATGGAAAGTTGGAAGTTTCAAAGTGTTTTGTCGTGGCTACTACAGAACTACTAGTACCATAATCGTAAATCCATCGAAATACTCCAAACGAAAAACAGCATGTTTCTGAAACATTAATACGGAAGACAATAGATGATGTCACGGTCACAAAGAAACTGACAGAATGGTAACAAAGCGATGTCCTGGATTAATACATTCATATTCAGGTAGCAAACATAACAAAGCTGCACGAAAGCAGTCATCTCAACAGACACAACTAAAAAGAAGGGGGGAAAAAACAGAAATCGTAATCCATTTTTCGATGAAAAGAACAGCAGAGAGCTGTTATTTATCATCATACATCAGTCGAATTCAAGTGCTAAAGCAATGTCAATGAAAGCTGAGGAGCAGTTAAGCTAAAGCAGCAAGTGCTAAAATCAAGCTGATAGTTAGGTCCCCTACAGATCGTAGTTAGCACTGGGGCTGCCCATCTTTACGCCTCCGGTGATTTAACCTGATTCCTCAACCTGCTGGAACGCCGGACTGGGGTGGTCACCGCCTCATCATCCTTGTTTCTCTGCACAAACAAAGTTAAATTAATTAAGCATGCAACCTAGCACAAACAAACTTTCAAAGGATGAATTCAGGATATAAACAGCAACCGCTTAATTGTATACCTTCTTGGCAGGGATCTTCTCGTAGGTGGTGAAACTACCATAGGACGATGTGGGTTGCGCGGCAGAATCCCTCCTGGACACTGGATCAAGGCTCAGGCTCTCGTCCTCCTTGGCACTCTTCCTCCTGCCATAGCCAGAAGACAAGCTGCTGCTATACATCGAAGCGCCGGAGCCGCCGCCGAATCTCTCGGTTTCATCTGCCACAGGAGGAGTCTGAAGCTGTGAACCCTTCACACGAAGATGACCCTCGCTGCTCCCCGAACCAGATAGGGTCTTCTCGACAACCGGTTCAGCTTGATCAGCTGGTGCCTCAGCGGCAGCATTTGCGACAGCCTGATCTTGCTTCTTGCTCATGAGGAGGAAGGCCAGTGCAGCTGGAACAATGACGGCAGCCAGAGCTGCGCCAGCAGCAGCAGGCTTTGAGATTTTGTCCAGGTAGCTTGGCCACATCCCCAATTCTGACTTCATTCCATGATCCGCCTCTGGGCTCTCCTCTCCGTCGGCAGCACGATCACCCTCAGAATCATCAGTCTGAACATCCTGCTTCAAGGAAGAAGTGCTAGTTTCAATGTTCTCTAGTGGCTCAGCTTCTCCTGCAGGTTGGGAGGGCTCCAGATCCTGACTGAAGGATGCCATCTCTTCACCATTGCTACCTGAAACTTCTTGTGACATCTCAGCGTCTTCTTCCGGCATCTCAACATTAAGCTCCTCTGCTAAGAACCCATCATCGATCACATCTCCCTTATCAGTGATATCTTCTTGCTCCACATCACTGATCTCTGAAATCAACTCAGAATCACTTGCTGAAACAGCCTCCTGGATCTTGGAATCCTGCTCAAAGGCACTGGCACCGATATCTTCCATTAGAACTGGCCTTGTTTCAACAAAGTTGCAGTAGAGATCAACACCCTCGTGCGCACTTGCAGTTGCAGCACTCAAATTGGCTGCGAAGTGCGGACCAAAGAACTCTTGCTCTTGCGCCCAAACAAGGGATTCCCAGTAGGATGTGACCAGATTCAACGAACTGCTTGACCATTGCTTCAGCCAAGCAGCCAACTCCACAGGATGCAATTCTTGAACTGACAGAAAGTCCGACACCTTCGACAGGGCGGTTAGCGGCATGACCGGAGAATCCACCGGCGGCGGCGGCACGCAGATGAGAGCAGCAGCCATGAACACGACCAGCGCAAGGGGAGCAACCAGGAACCTCAGGGAAGACCTCTTCCTGGGACGACGAGCTCGCTCGGAGCTCGCCGTAGGCTCCGGCTCCGGTGTCTGGACACGAGCGCGCGGGGAACGCGTCGCTGGCTCTGGCGTCAGCACGCGAGCCCGCGGTGAACCCGACGCAGGCTCCAGCGGCAGGGCACAAGCATCAGCCGCGGGAACAGCGGCGCCATCTCCGAGCTCAGACGACAGATGCGCTTGTTGTTCTTCGTCTACAAGAACCACCTCCTCCTCGCTGCTGGTGGTGGTGGTGGTGGTGACGGTTTCCTCGCTGCTCTCGGAGGCGAACCCGTCCTCGAGCCGCCTCACGCCACCGCTGCTGCCTTGCCGGTACAGATCGATGCGGGGGTTGGGCTTGTAGTGCAGAAACCGAGGCCTCGGCGACAGGTAGTTCGTCCTGGGATCGTACGGAGCCGCACCCTGGTCCGCCTCCGCGGAAGCAGCGTCGTCGAAGGCCGTGGCGTGGTGGTGGTTCTTGCACGGGGGATTCTCCACCCTCCGCTCCTCCTCCCCGCCGAACGAGTGCCTGGAGCCGGCCGCCGCGGTGACCGGCGTGGATGCGGCGGGTGGGGCAGTATTGGGCGCCCCATCGAACGAGAGCCGGAGGCGTCGCGGGGCGCCCGCCTCGGACGCCATGGGCTTGACGGGGGACGAGGCCACGGGGTAGAGCTGCTGCTGCTCGTTGCGCTCCCCGAGCACCTTCTTCCTTGGCGAGGCCTTGGACGCCGCGGAGATGGTCGGCGCCATGAAGTTCTTCGCGGCGCCGGCCGCGGGGCGAGCGGGCTTGGGCGCCGCCGCCGCCCTCGCCGCCGCGTCGCGCTGCCCGCTGTTCTCCTTCTCCGCGCACCACGACGCCCGCGGCGACGCGTTCCTGCACACCACGGAGCTCCTCAGCGCCGCCAAATCTGCCGCATCCAACCAAAAACAAAAAAAAACACGACTCGATCAAAATCACCACGAAACCATCAGATCAGATCCGCTCGCCGCAGAAACGGAAAGCTTGTTCGAAAACGAAACCGGAAACAAATCAAAACGAGACGTTACCGCAGGGGGAGGCGGCGGGGCTGGAGTCGGCGCTCCTCCTAACGGCGCAGCCCGGCCTCGCGCCGGGGCCGGGGGACGGAGACCTCGCCGTCGCCGCAGCCATCTCGATCTGTGGATTCGGGGGGAGAGAGAGAGAGAGGGTGAATTCGAGGCGGAGAATTGGGGGGGAAGGGGCGCCGCGGGGGATGGGATTGCTTGGTGATTTTGATCTCCAACGGCTACAAGACTTTATCGCGGCGGAGCTAGGGGACAAGTGGGGGGAAGGGCGGAGAGATGACCGTTGGGATTTGGATGAGGAGATGGAAGAAGGATTCCGGCCGTTGGAAGTTTTTTTTTTTTCCAAACCGACCGTTGACACCTACAAGCGCAAATAAGGTACAGTCGTACAGATTGTTACTATTGTTATAAAATGTTTGTGCACGATTGTTAAAATTCCTGGATGGCTGGATCTACCACGCGGGTCACAGACTTTGCTGTGTTATTTTGAGGGGTTTGGATACCATTTTCCTAGGCACACGAAACCTAAATAGGTACTAACGCATGATTAATTAAATATTAAAAAGATCAAATAATATATTAATATGATACTTTCAAATGAACTTTCATATTCTTCTTAAAAAAAACACACAATTTAACGATTTGGGAAGCGTGTGCAGAAAATCAAAAAGTGAAAACTAAAGAGTGGAAGAAAATAACACACCCTAGTGAGTTGGATTTTTCGTGGCACAGAAACGATGCAAGTAATTACCATATGATTAATTAAATATCAATTATAACAAATAAAAATGGGTCTATTTAGTTTTTTAAAAAATAAGAAAGCGTATTTGTTTAGCTAACAGAAAATGAGTAATAAGTTGCCACCATAGACTCACTAGTAACCTCGTAGGCGTGTTCGCAGGACTGAGAAAAAAAATCATATGGCCTTTTAGTTTTAACACGTTTGAAATGCGTGGATATTTAAATCTTTCCTGTGAACCAAAGCAGATACGTTGATTCGAAACGAAAATGGGCTCGAATGCTGCGACGGATTAGTGGCCTGCCTCAAACTTGAATATTGGGAGTATTGGGCTGGGTCCAAGTCCAACACGTACATCGGGATCCCATCGCATCCCGACCTAGCCGACTAGTTCTGGGCTGGTTCATTCCTCGCTATCCAGGTCGGGCCCAACTAAATCTAGGCCTGCTGTTCGGGCCTCAACAATATTCCGGTCCAATTTACTCTGGGGCGTCACTCTGGCGCAGGACACCAACAATTGGTCATATACCACGGAGTACTACTAGCCTTGTTACAAAATATAAGAAACTTTTTTTCTTTTTAAAAAAGTACATTAATATGATTTTTTTAAAGTAATTTTCGTATATAAATATTTTTTAAGAATTTGGGAAACGTACACAGGAGAGACGAGAAAGTGAGTTAGGAACTACTACCTTCATCTAGGATCTTAGGACAATATATTTGGACATAAGGTATATCTAGATATATTGTCTAAGGATGTATCTCATCCCATCTTAAATTGCTACATTCTAGATGAAGGAAACACTTAAAAAAAGAACACAACTGCCAATCGACGGAGAAATTTCAGTCCCAAAATCTTTCCTGCTTAGATGAGAATAAAACTTTTTAGTCCCTATCATATCGGATGTTTGAACACTAATTATAAATATTAAACGTAGATTATTAATAAAAACCCATTCTATAACCCTGCACTAATTCGCGAGACGAATCTATTGAGCCTAATTAATCCATGATTAGGCTATGTGATGCTACAGTAAACATACGCAAATTATGAATTAATTATGCTTAAAAGATTTGTCACGTGAATTAGCTCTCATTTATATAATTAGTTTTATAATAAGTAGTCTACGTTTAATACTTCAAATTCATCCGATATAACTTGGATGGATTAAAGTTTAGTTTATGTTTAATTCCTTTTGTGTTCTCGTCTTCTCTCGTTGGAACTTTTGTGTCTATGCACCGTTGAATTGAATTCTTCCGATCTACCACAACCACGCGCAGTCACACACACCGGCAGTCCGGCACAACGTATCTGACCAACCGATCGATCGATCTCTGCAATTGGCCTGACCGACTACACCCTGGCGACTCGACTTGGCGAGTCACATGCTGGGATCCCTGTTTCGCCGCGCAGCGAGCGAGCCAGCGGTATCAGGCACATTTTCCCATCGATCATCGGTATCATCTCGGCGATCGATCGACGGATTTTTTACGGCAGCGAGGGTAGCATCTGCGTAGCGTGACGACGCACAGGTTACCATGGAGGCTACTGCAGGTGGCGACGTCGCTGAGATGACCCGAGAGAAGGGACAGGCCCTCTGGCCAACGACGTGACCGCACCCGCACCGCACCGGATCGGACCAAACGAGACGGGACGTGCGTATATAAGGACCTCCACAGCGACAGTGTACTAGGAGAGGTGTTGCCTTTTTTTAACGGATAGAGTACTCCATTTGTCTCATTTTAATTGACGTCATTAGTTTTCATGTCTAACTGAATGGTTCGTCTTATTTATCATCTAATAACAACACAATACTAATCATAAAAAAATTTCAAATAAAACGGACAATCAAATTTGGACAAAAAAAAAACTCATAGTTACAGTGCGCTTAAAATAAAACAGAGGGAGTATATCATAAGGTCAAAAAGGTAATTTTTCATTAATATTTTAATCTATTTTCCAAGTTCTTTAAAAAAGTACTTAATAAGTACACTTATTTTGACAGAGTTCTAGTAAAATTAGCATATGTAATGATTTATTAATATATGATGAATTAAGTACTATTAACTTAAAAAACTTAAAAATAAATTAATATCTATTATATTATTAAAGGAATAGAAAAAGGAGCCTCCACGTTCGCTCTCATAGCATAGAAATTCTCACATTAATCGGAGAAAAAGAAAAAACAGAGTCCATATAGAAATACAATTTAGAAATACCTGAAATTCGGAACTAAAAAATAAGGAATATTAGAAGAGGAGACTAGAGTCCATATAGAAATACAATTAGGAAATAGTTGAAATTTGGAATTAAAAATAAGGAATATTAGAAGAGGAGACTACAATTAAGAAAAAAAGAAATTCGGAATTACAAAATAAGGAATATTAGAAATAGAGTATGGAGTCCATATAGGAATTTAAAACTAACTAAAATTCGGAATAAATATAATAAAATTAAAAGTAGAGTTTAGAGTCCATATAAAAATACAATTTACAAATAACTAAAATTCGTAATTAAGAAAAACATGGGAAGATGAGTTTAAAGTCAATATAGGAATACAATTTAGAAGTAACTGAAATTCAAAATTAAAAATTAAAGAATATTGAAAGATGAGTTTAGAGTCCACATAGAAATATAATTAGAAATAATAAAAATTCATAAATAAAAATAAATAATATTGGAAGAAGAGAAATACAATTTACAGAAAATTCGAAATTTAAAAAAGAAATATTAAAAGACGAGTCTATAGTCCATATAGGAATATATATAAATAACAAATAACTAAAATCTGATATTAAAAATAATTAATAACTAACACGTATATAAAATACAATATGAATATTACACATTAGTAGTTTCGTAAAGTTATTGCAAAATTTAAAATTATGTTGTCATTTTAATATATTTGAATAATATAATGAGAAAACATATATGCTATTATACTACAGAAAATATATTATGCTAGCTGCGTAATATGCGCTAGCCACTATGCTAGTTATATTTTAAAGCAACTTTTATATAATTTTGTTTAGAAATCGCACCATTTAATATTTTAAAAAATATGCACTCGAAAAATGAGAAAATTAATTTGGGAAAGTTACCTGAAGAACTCAGCCTTAAATTACATAAAACATTTTAATCCTTTCATTAAGGGCACTAAAATTACATGCCATCGAAAACCAAAATGCCCTGTAGAGCAGGTATAATAGCATGCTATAAGCCAGCTATAAATATATTTTAAAGAGATAAAGAAAGAGAGAGAGGAGCAGCAGGCTATAGATCTGTAGTTAGCTACAGCACGAACTTGAAGACGTAATATGTGTATGAAAAGTAGGATCAGATATTAATTATTTAGTAAACAACTATTGTATGAATTAGCTATTACGTTGGCTATAAATGATTTGGAGTTAGTAGTATTTGGCTATACTATCAACTTGCTCGTGTAAAGAACAACCGAGGAGGTCAGAAAGAAAGAGCCCATCGGCGCAGTGCAGTGCAGTGCACTTACTTTAAAGCGCCCAGCCATATCGCTGCACAGTAGTGCAATGGCCATGGCCACCACTGTCCACTGGCGCGCAGCTTGGAGGGGAACGCCCGCCGGCCGGGCGCTACTCAACATCAACACGGCCACGCACAGCGCGAGGCCAAAGGCCTTTTCAGCTTTCCTTTTGGAGCAAAACGCTTCCCCTCCTCCTGCCTGCAGGATGCAGCCACCCACGCTCTCCACTGCCTCTCTCTGCCTGCCTGCCCGTGTGCGACTCCCTGCCTTGCAAGCAAGGAATCACAGCTTTCAGAATTCAGAATCGGCTGCTTGCAATGCAAAAGCTTGACTGTTTTGCTTCCTTCTTCAGCTGCTGCCTCTCCTGTGTGCAGGCTAGTATATGCTGGGGCTAGTATAATTTTCTTGCAATGTCCCCTCCTGTGTTCAGTAGCAGGAGTATTGGGAGTTTCTGCGCATTTTGGTTGTGCCGTCGTGCAGGCGAACGAAGGCCATGGAGTTGGGAGTAGTAGAGTACTAGTAGTAGGCTGAAGCTGAAGCTCTGGGCCTCTGGCTGCTTTCGCTCTGCTGCTACAGCAGAAGCAGCTATGGAAAAGGCCTTTCAATTGGACAGGACAGGTCATGGTGGCGTGTTGCGCCGGGTGACACGACAACGGAACTATGAAGATTTAATATAGAAAAAAAAATAATTGCACAGATTAACTAATTTGGGACACGAATCTTTTAATCCTAATTACTTTATGATTTAACAATGTAGTGCTATAGTAAATATTTGCTAATAACAGATTAATTAGACCTAATAAATTTATCTTGCTGTTTACCGACGGATTCTGTAATTAGTTTTTTATGGTCAAACACCCATGCATCACCATATATAATACTCGATCTATCTAAAATCTAGACTAGCGATGCAAATCTTGTCTCCCTACACTAGAGCTAGTAGCTAACTCCACATTGCATAATTAATAGGGGTAGTAGCACTAGCCATACTCCCTCCGTCAAAAAAAATAAAAATAAAAATAAACCCTGGGTTTCCGTATCCAACTTTGATTATCCGTCTTATATAAAATTTTTTTATAATTCATATTTTTATTATTGTTAGATGATAAAACATAATATTTTATGCGTGACTTGTCTTTTTATTTTTTTTCATAATTTTTTCAAATAAGACGGACAGTCAAACGTTGGACACGGAAACCAAGGTTTGTCTTTTTTTGGGACGGAGGAAGTACTCTTTTGTCCCATTTTAAGAGCGACTATAGGTTTTTTTATCCAACTTTAGGCTGTGTTTAGTTTCTGAATTTGGGGAGAAGTTTGGAGAAAGTTGGTAGTTTAGAAAAAAAATTAGGAGTTTATGTAAGTAGAAAAGTTTTGAATGAACACTTCGCTCCTTTTACACTTGCATGTTTTTCAAACTACTAAAGGCCGTGTTTAGTTTCTCTCCTATTTCCAACTTTCCATCACATCATATTATATCAAAATTTTTCTACACACATAAACCTCCAACTTTTTTATCCAAACTCCCAACTTTCTTCACACTTTCAACTTTTTTTAGGAACTAAACACACCCTAAACGGGTATGTTTTTATAAAAAAAATATATACAAAAGTTAATAAATTTATTTTTGGAGTAAACATTACATCAAAGTATATAAAAGTAAGGAATTATTGTATTGAGAAAAGATAAAAATAAAAAGTAGTTACATTGAGATTTGATAAAGCATGGATATTCTAGAGCCCCATGAGATAGCCTAATAAGCCAAGAAAAAACTAAAATTTGAATTTTCGAACTTGATTTTAAAGTTGATGCAAAGATGTTTTCAACGTAATTTCCTTTTTCAATTGGCTTTTAAATCGTTACGAACAAATATATAAAATTTTTATCTATAAATTAATTTTTATTCTCTAATGAATTGTTTTGATTTATTAGGGAATATAAGTAATCGACGAGGCTCTTTTGTATTGGTATATGTGAGATGGTTGAAAGATGAACATAATTTTAAAACGGAGGTAGTAAAAAAAATATATACAGTACTGACTTCGTTTATTTTTAAAGTAAGTTTATTTTTCTCTCGCACCAATATGAAATTAAAAATAGTATGATAGCTCTACTTTATTAAATCTCAGTACTGAAGCCGTTTATTTTTTAAAGTAAGTTTATTTTTCTCTTGCACCAATAAAAAAATTGAAAAGAGTACCTCTACCTTATTAAATTCCAGTACCATTATTATTTATTTTATCTACTCCCAGTATATCTATATATTCTACTACTTTCGTAAATTTAGATATAATAATTACTCAAAAATTAGCTTATTTTAGAATAAATGAGACTTTGTAACGATCAGTTCACAACTGCTTCAACCGTCAAAAATATAAATATAAACATTTCTGATTATAAATCTGGATAACTGTATATCAGTCAAAACTTAAAAATATATTTTGGGACAAAGTCAATACTACACTACTAGCAGACAGAGGAAGGCTGTGTTTAGATCTAAAGTTTAGATCCAAACTTTAGTCCTTTGCCATTACATCAACCTATCATACACACATAACTTTTAAGTCACATCATTTTCAATTTCAAACAAAATCTAAATTTTACGCTTAACTAGAAACAGCCGAAGTAAAGTAAGAAGTATTATAAGCTGAACACCACCCCTTGCCGCAGCTAGTACAGTAATAGTACTTCAAACATTGATAAACGTCTTTCTCGGAGTATTAAGCTGGTAGTACAGTACTTAGGAAGTATTATAGGCCCTGTTTAGTTCTGTTTAGTTCTCACGCTAAAATTTTACAATATGTCACATCAAACGTTTAAACACTCACATAAAATATTAAATATAGGTTAGTTACTCTATGATTTAACGATATGGTGCTTCAGTAAATATTTGCTAATGATGAATTAATTAGGCTTAATAAATTCGTCTCGCTGTTTTAACAACGGATTTTATAATTAGTTTTTTTTATTAGGGCCTTCTGTAATTATTTCAGAAAAAAAAAGAAAGAAAAAACTTATAGGCTTGCTAGTTTCTGCCTATCTGTGGAAGGAATCCGATGGATGGAATAACTGGGCTCGAGGAGTAGCTAGAGTAGAAGTAGTGCTCCTACTACTAGTACTATAGTAGGTTTCGTCCATTTGTGATCACGTCTAGTCAAGCTCGGCATCACAACACAAGGAGAATCCCTGTACTCCTAACCGGAACAGCTCTCACATTGCCGCAGTTGTAATTAGATATGCTTTGCTCAAAGCTTTATCCTCGCACCTTAAGATTAAGAGATCTCAGGTGTTCTGCAACGAAGTGCGAGCATAGTAATAAACCAGGCATCCTGCACATGTTTGAATCAAAAGAGCATGACTTCACCAAAGCTAGAGTAGCAGCTAGTGATCGTTACAAAGGGCCCGTATAAACGGCAGCAAGTTGGAAGCTAACTTCAATTCTCGCCCCCAAAAAACAAAAGGATCATCAACAAATTCAAAGATGGAAATCAGCAAACAAGAATCCCGAAATCCCCTGTACTATTATATATCCACAAGATCGACCTCAGGTTCGTTCATCAAACCGGTGGAGATCGATCGATTTTCCTCATGGGTTCAGGATCATTCCCCCACACTTGCACCTCCAGCTCAACGGCTTGTAGTTGGAGTGGTCGTCGTAGGAATCAGGCATTGCCCTCCCACCGGCAGCAGCAGCTCTGTCGCCATGGCCGAGCAGCTGCTTCTTCTTCCTCCTCCTGTCGTCGCCTTGGCCTCTCTTCTTCTGCAGCTGCTGTGGGGTTATGGGCACCTGCACCGCCTCGCAGTGGCCACACGACCTGCACCTCCCCTCGCAGCTCGGCGGCCTCGACCCTATCACGCCTCTGATCCCAGCAACGCCCTTCTCCTGCAACACACACAACCATTACACATTGTCAGCCTCCCAGCTATAGAGTTAGCTAACCAATCTTTGCAAGCTCGATCTGTCATCTTACTGACCTCGGTGAAGCCGGCGGCAGCTTTGGCAAGGACGGAGGAGGCGAGGAGGAGAGCGAGCAGGAGGAGCAGGAGCAGATGGCCCGCCATTTCGACGATGATTTGGGAGGCAAAAGTTGGGTGGCGACCGGGTGAGATGAGGCGAAGAATGGGGGAACCAGCCAGCAGCCGTCTCTTCCGGTCGTCGTCGTCGTCGTCGTCCGTCCCCCGGTTCAGCCGTGCAGATGATGGGGTTGACGACGGTGGCAGAGGAGTTGTTGCGCGTGCGCGTGCGGCCGTTTTATGCGTGGATTCTCGCGGGAAGAAGACACCGGAGAGAGACCAACCCCCGTCTACACCTACGCCTACTGATGCTCACCCTTTTGTCAGCTCACAGCTTGCTTTCGGTGTACAGCCAGACGGTACTAGTTTGCCCGTGTGCGTAGTAGTAGAAACGTACTGCATGTCCATGTATACGCAGAGAACCTATTCATTTTTTTTTCTTCGAGCATCTTAAACAGTAATAAGGACATCGACAATATAGTATAAAAAACAACCTTAAATAATAAACACAATACTTTAAACATTGCAAAAGCGCACCATAAACTTGAAGCTTCAAAAATGACCAAGTCATGGTCATTTTTTATAGGGATAAGTCCATTTTACGCCCTTCAACTATTTACCTTGTCCAAAACACACTCTCTAGCTGTAAAACCGCATATCTAACGCCCTCGAACTATTAAAACTGGAAACTTTAACCACCCCCCCCCCCTCAAAGCACCCCCCCCCCTCAAAGCAGTTTTAGGCTGGTTTTGGGACAATTGGATGCCACCTCTAAAACAGAATTCCACGTCACCAAGGGGGAGAGGGGGTCCCACTAGTCAGTACACCCCCTTCTTCTTCTTCTTCTTCTTCTTTCCTCTCTGCTCTTTCCCCTTCCTCCCTGAAAATCTCAATGGAGCAGCCGAAGTTGCCGACGAGCTCCCTCTGTCTCAGCCTCCATCCCGTTTTCCACTGGCCTCACTCCCTCCAGCCCCCAGCAAGCTCTCTCCCACCGCTTTCCTGCCACAACGACGATCTTGTACTTCTTCGCCGGGAACATCAAGAACCACACCCGCGACATCCACGCCCCCATCTTCTTCCTTCTTCCTGCTGCTCCTCGAGCCGGCAAACTCTGCACCATGGCCGTCGCCGTCGAGTGCCGCGAGCTCCTCCCTAGGCCATGCCGCCGGCCGAGCTCGCCGCATCCGGCGTCACCACAACCGTCGTCGTCATCGCCAGCGGCCGGCTCCACGGCCGACGGATCCGCTGCCCCACGACCTTCGGACGCCGGCCGACCTAGCCGCAGCTGCAACCGCCGCCGCCGCCACCGCTCCCGTCGTCGTCGCCGTGCCCGCTGCCGGTGCCGAGCCCGCCGCTCCAGCCCGCTGCGCCGCGCAGCTCCCGTCGGTGAGAGAGAGAGAGAGGAGAGGAGGAAAGAGTGAGAGGCTGAGAGGGAGAGGAGAGGAGAGGATTTTGCTTCAATAATTTTGCTGACTTGGATTGACACGTAGATGCTACGTAACCAAAAAACCACTTTGATTTGGTTTTAGGGGGTAAATTGCCCGATTTTAATAGTTGGAGGGTGTTAGATACCCGGTTTTGTAGTCTGAGGGTGTATTTTAGACAAACACAAAAGTTTGAGGGTGTAAAATGGACTTATCCCTTTTTTATACTAGTTCACTAGAATACTAGATGGATGAGTAGCAATACTTTTAGGGCCCATTTGAAACGTAGGATTGATAAAAAATAGGAATAGAAAAAACAAAGAAACATGATAGAAATACATATATGCAAAAGAATTAGAAAATATAATAATGAGTGTTTGATTGAACCGTAAGAAAAACACAAGAATAGATTTGGATTATTAGATAAAATTGTGTTGGTTATCTACTTACACACATCTAACCTACACTAATTGAATAGACAAGTGGCATAAGCTTCGAGATTTGCCTTGATACTACGCGACATAGCAAAAACATGAGCTTAGAGTGGATTAGGGCTGGACGAAAAGCTCGTAACTCGTTAGCTCACTCGGCTCAGCTCGACTCGACTCGTTTGGATTTATTAACGAGCCAAGTCAAGGTTTTAGCTCGTTTATTATAACGAGCCAGCTCGAGTTGGCTTCGTGAGCCAAAACGAACCAAACCAACAGCCATCTAGCCCATGAATTAAGGCTGTGTTTAGTTCACACTAAAATTAGAAGTTTGGTTGAAATTGGAACGATGTGACGGAAAAGTTGGAAGTTTGTGTGTATAGAAAAGTTTTGATGTGATGGAAAAGTTAGAAGTTTGAAGATAACTTGGGAACTAAACACGGCATAATGAGAAGTTTATTGGTTTGATTATAGCCCAACAAGGCCCATAGGTCACCAGGCCTATTCGGTAGCATAGCAACCAAGAAACCCTAGGCTTCAATCCAATCTGTCACTTTTAGGGGCTTATTCGTTTCAAAGGATTTGTAAAGGAAAAGTACAGGAATATCTAATCCTTTGGAATGAGCACTATACTATCATTCGTTTCAAAGGAATGCATGAAAGGAAAAATTCCTATCCCTCCACTTTTAGGGGGAAAACAAAGGAAAAAAAATAATCCACTCCAACCCAATCTTTTCAATCCTTTGGATTGTTTGCAACACAACCATAGGAAATTTTTTTCAATCCATAGGTTTACACATGCGTTCCTATATTATTCATATGTTTTCCCTATTCCTACGGTTTGAAAATCCTACAAACCGAATAAGCTCTATATGCGGTAATTAACTATTTGCCACTAAATTCACATGTCATACACATATGTGGACCCACATGTGGCAAATAGTTAAATGCCCTTCAATCCTAGCGCACGCATCACATCGATCTCTTTCTTTCTCTTGATCTTTCTTATTTCCCCAATTCCATCGCTCCACGCCGCCGCAACTCCACCTCATCTCTCACGCCTAGATCGAGCCTCCGTCCGCCGCTCTGCCAATGCGCGTGCGGCGTGCCTCCGTCCCGCTCCCGCGCCGGTGCCACTCCCTACCTCAATCACTCACCGACGCCGCTCTCTGCCTCCGTCCCACGCTCCTCCCTTCTTCCCTACCTCCGTACTACGCTGCTCCCTGGCTACATCAGGTGCTACTCCCTACATCCTGTGAAGCCGCCGGTTGTGCGCTTAATTTGAGAATTTTCTTGACATGTTCATGTGCACGGAGTTAGTGATGGTAGTTACAGTTCGCCACAAAATGCATTGCGTGTACTCCAAACACAGTGCAAAACAGCTCCCAGATAGTCGGTCTGTGGAGGCAATGCACAGACCGTGTCGAAAACAAAAAACCACTCAGTTTTTTCGTCATGATCACATAAATTAAATAAGATATATCATTTTAGGACAATATATGTTACGTCTGGATTTCATCCGGTATGTCTGGAACGGGTTGGCAACGAAAAACACGTGTCTTTTTCGTCAAGATCACATAAATTAAACAAGATATACCATTTTAGGACAATATATGTTATGTCCAGATTTCATCCGATCTATCCGAATCGGGTCAGCAACCAAAAGCATGTGCTTTTCGTCGTGATCACATAAATTAAACTAGAACTACCATTTTAAGACATACACAATGTATGGTACGTCCGGATTTCATTCGATCTGTCCTGATCGGGTCAGCAACCAAAAACACATGTTTTTCATCGTGATCACATAAATTAAACTAGAACCACCATTTTAGGAGAAATTATGTTATGTCTGGATTACAACCGGGACTTTTTGGGTTAATTATCTTATTAAAAAAAATCAAACTCTCGAACCAGCCGGACCGAACATGCGAGGATAGAGATGCTTGTCCAATTTTATTTCAAGTCCATGTATTATCGGCTGGATCAGTGAAGCCCATTTAGGAGCTTGAGTCCAAGTACGTACATCTGGCCCTGTACTTTGGGAGGCCCATCTTATTGGCAGCCCAAGTGATGATTAATCTCCGCCTCCGCCGTCAATCACAGGCGAACGCTGGTACTCATTACCGATGTGGCCGCCGCCGCCAGTCGACACCTCCACTGCATGCGCCACATCCAGCACGATCTGCAGCCATCCACGACGACCAGCGCCACAGCCACGAGGATCTGCAGCCCTTTTTTTTTTCTTCAGGTATAGTATGTTAATTAATCAACTAATCCCAAATTGGAGCGTAGAATCAGTTGAGCCGGCCCAATTACAGTGCACGCGCAATTACATAATACACCCCTCTTGATGCTGAATCTACAAGAATACCACGGTAATTTTTCCACAATTACTCTTGTACTACACTACTACACTTTTATTTTAGGTGTAGTAGCAACGAATTTTCACCTTTAAATCTCACCTCTTCAACGGCTCATATTCCATTCAAAGGTACACTAAAAAAAATCATTTTTGCAAGACGCAAATTTAGCATGCTGTTGTTGGACGAGTGGACATGAGCGCATAATTACGCTGGACAGCCATAGATTTTGTGTGAAGGATTAATTTAGCTATGCCAAAAATAGGGAAATATACTTCATACATACAACAATGATTTATACATGTGCATATTATAGGTGATTTCTGCCTCTGACGCTCTGATGATTTTTCTATGATTTATACATGTGCATATTACAGGTGATTTCTGCCTATGAGGCTCTGATGATTTTTTCTGTTTCTTTCAACGACTGAATTGTACTCCCGGGGTTTACCTTTCCGGCCGTTTAAAATTAACCACTTTACCAAAAACCAGTAAAATCGTAAAAAAAAAAAAACAGCTACTAGTATCAGTTTTCACTAACAAAAAACATTAGCGGTTTCACAACGACGTTAACCCTTGTAGATACATCAGTACTTTTTGTTGTGTGTATGCTATTTCTCTAAAAATAGGGCGAAATCAATTTCGGCCAACGGTTTCAGTTGGGGAAAATGTTTAACAGTTTAAGGAATGAAATGCCTTCTTGAAAAATATTTACAAGCTTGCAATATGTAATTGCAGTGAGCTCTCTACATAACAAGCGTACAGGTTGAAGATATGTGCGCGTGCAGGTAGGAAAATGGATGTGCAACCAAATAAGCCATGCACTAATCAACTTTACTAACATTATAGCGTCAATGGCCATGGCGCTACGCCAACTTCACAAAACTATTAACACATTGGCTCATGTTACAAGCTGTAACACAACGCATGACTCGCTGAGACTTTCCTGGAGAGTGGAGAGGACGAGGACACAAACTCAGTCAAGTCAATCAAAAGCAATTAACTACTCAACGATCTCTGTGTGCCCACCATAAGTAGAACGCTTTCTCACGAGCCAATGGCAGGCTAATGTGTCAATGGTGTCAGAGGTGAATCATGGATCGCCGCTTCAGTCATGCTATTCAACAGTGGACATGTACTTACAAGGTCTCGCCTTCGCATGTTGATCTTGCTGCTCCGTTCACAGAAGTGCGAATGACAGCAGATTACCGTGCTATCATCTGGAGAATATTGCGGCCAGGCAAACAGGTAACTGATGTGCAAATGAGACGAAATGTTGGAAAGACCTTAACTTGGAGCAGGTTTTTTTCTGCTTCTTCTTGAATCACTGGACTTGCGCTCAGCACCAATCTGTACCTGCTGAGCTTTAGGCCTTCTAGTTTTCGTTTGGCTAGGTTCAGTTGTAGGGGACGTGGATGATCGTTGGGTTGTTCTAGATCCTGGACGTTTCGCATTATCCCCCTTCAGCTTCTCTCTTGCTGGTCTGGCATTAGAAAGCCTCTGTGGTTTCTGCGTTGCTGCACCCTGTTTACCACCCACCTGTACTAACCTTTGTTGGTTCTGGCTCTGATTATTACTGCCTTCATACTCCCCACAACCAACTGATGTTGAAACCTCCTGCACAAGGAAACATCTATAGCTATCAGCCTATCAGCATGTCAAAAGGAAGAGGAGAAAAAACATATTGCAAGCATTAATTCATAGAAGAAAGGTTCAAGCATGAGATCTTTCAGGGAAAATTGCAGCGTTGTCACCAATTATTGATTGAACATGTGACAATGTGATGCTTCACTTGTTTGTTCATGTAAGTCCAAGAAATGCGCAAGCAATCATACAAAGGTAACTTTCCGTGATATAAGCAACAGAGTGCAATAGATATGTTAAAGCCATTGGTGAAACCATTGTAGAAAAGGGGGAAATCAGTAGAATTCTACAACCAGAAACGAACAATAAAATGATACAAGAATAACAGATACATGGTAAACTGCAATATTACCTTATTTTGAGCCAGCAAGGGGTCGACACCTTGAACTTGGTCCTCATCAGAATCATCCATTTCCTCACGTTCAAATTCGACATGCTGGCTATCTTCCTCTGAATCACTTAATTCTTCTTGTTCCATTACAATGCCTTGCATTGATTCTTCATTAGGCTCTTCAATGCCATGATGGGAACAAACATTTCCATCCTCCAGCTCTGAAACACTAGCTTTGTCCTTCCTAGACACCTCTGCCCTATCATTCAATTTGCTACTGGTACCTCCGGTATCATTTCCATTCATGTAGTCCCTTGAAGAACATAAATGAATATCCAAGTCAATATTATTTTCCTTCTCACAAGGGCCTGTGGATTTTTTCCTAGCTGTTGACTGATCATCTGCTGGGGCTTCCCTCATGTTACACTCAGATTGATTATAAGGGCGATTGCAGTCATCTCCTGGTACTTCACCATGCATATCAACTTCAGTTCTTTGCAGGAGAGGATGGAAATCAATAGTATTAGCATTTACAGGAGTTCTCGTCTCAATGCAATCTGTAGTCTGATTGTTACTTTTCTCGGTTTGGACTTTCTCAAAGGGGAAAAGATCCCTTGAATGATTGATAAGGTTTTGAACCGGATGATTATATGATGAAAGCACCTCTCTTGGGTACTGAAAAAGCAAAGGATGCATCTGAAAATCTTGCTCAGCACCATCTTCTGTCGTATTTCCATTAGAAATCCCACTCTGATGTAATCTAACATTAGTACTATGATCAGGGAACAGATTTAGTTGTCTATAAACACTTTCTGAAAAGGTTGGAGGTGGTACAGGAAAAAGATCCTTTGCCGCATTATCTGAGGTGCCATTGAGTTGTGTTGCATTCTGATGGAATGCCACCTGAGATATCACACGGACAGAAGGAGGAAGGTTTACAGGAGGCAAATCTGGGGCTAACTTGACCACACAGCTACCTTTCTCTTTTGAAAATTGCGAAGCCTGCGGTTGGTCCAAAGAGCCACCTTGTACCTTTCGCTTAGATGAAAGGCCATCAGAAGTGCAAGAACTAAAAGGGAAATATGAAGCTGTCACATCAAAATTTGTGCTGTTTCCTTTCTGCTGTTCAGCAGAGTCACCTGCAACACCAGATTCTTCACAGAGGCTGCTGCCTGACTGCATCATCATGCCATTTCCAGCATTTCTTGGTAATGACAGCTGATAAGGCTGATAGTTTATGCTCCTATTCTCTGTGTCTGCCAAAAATGCTTCATTGACATACAAATCATCATCATCATTTTCAGCACCCTCGGAGCCATTGTTGTCAGCCTATCATGAAAGTACTAAAATTAGTTCAGTGACAACATTGTACATGGACATGGAATTTATCAATTTGAATATAATATGGATACATCGCAGGTTTGATAAAAAAAAATAACCTCCTGCCCATGAACCGCTTGTGAATTAGGCATTGAAGCTTTAAGTTTTCTCCTCTTAGCCTCATATGATCGCCTTTTTTCTTTTTCGGCTTCACTTTTATTGTAGGATTTCTGGACGCCAGTGGCAGACCTCCATTGGCGTGGGAGCAGTGAAGGATCTCTATGTGGCACAACGAACCTCCAAACCAATGCCCAATCATTTTTGAATGCCTTGAGTCCCTGGCATCAACAGTGATAAGCACGTGCTAAAGAAAGTAGGCTGGAGTAAAAAATATAATCACCTCCTGGATACGCTGTTGTTCTTCATTTGTCAATGGAGAGGTCTTCATACGGCGAACGTCCTGTGTTAATATGGGAAAATATGACAAGTTCAGAAGGCAAGTATGTTGACATTACTGAAGACCATAGACCTTCAAAAATAAGAAAGGGCGACTGACCCCACTACGTATCAAAAAAAAAAAAAAACACTGGCGCTGGCGCACAGGAATTGGAAACCGAAGAATCAGTATCGCGATCGCGACTCCTCGTTTTTCGCACGGCCACACGAGTCACGACGTGTAAACACGACGCCCTGACTCCGGCTCCATGACTCCGCGTCGACTCACAGGGGCAGGCGCGACTCGCCATCATTGCCGAGAGGAGACGCCGACTCCGCGACGCTAGCATCGAAAACGACGCGCTCTGCAAGCCAAGATCGCCGCGCCGAGTGCCGCCGCCGCCTGGCCTGGCCGTCCTGCCGCCCGCGACCACAAGGAGTGCCAATCGCCTCCGCCCGTGGCCAGCCAGCAGCTGGCTGTTCTCCGCCACCGCTCAATTTTAGGTCTTCTACCTTTTCTAATTTTTTAAATTTTAACTCTGGTACAATGTACATTGTGATATTAAATTGTAGTACTATATTGTAGATTGTTGATTGTTGAAGCATGGAAAAATATGGATATATTGCATCTCTTTTTCGAAAACTTGCAGCAAAGAATAATGCTTCTAAATAGACTTCTTCCCCCGTTGTGATATATAGAGGAGAACACTCAAGTACACGACGTTGAGGAAGATGTCTCGCCGCCCGTCGCCTCCGCCTTCACTTTCATGGCCATCGAAAGGCGTACACCCAAGATGAAGTAGTATGGTAATCTTCTTTAAACTTTTATAGGCATATAAGCTTCTTTAAGTTAACATTTTATATGTTTTAAGATACTTTATTAATATATCATGGTGTACTTTTGGTCTATTCTATTATCTATACATGTATTGCACATATTAGCATCGTTAGATTTACGGTGTTTAAAAAAAAATTAGGTCGGACCACCCATATCCTAAATGCTAGATCCGCCACTGCTTCATTCCAGCCACAGCATAGCAGACACTACAGCACCAAGTGTCCTGTTAACTACACTCCCCAAAGAGTATTGCCATTCGGTACAAGGGAGCATGCTGACCAAACATATTTAGAGCACACAATTCTACAAGAGTAGTTATTCAAAATTTTAAGTACCCAAAGGTGAAAAACTATAGAGCTCTCTGTAAGTATAGAAATATTTATCCTAGTGAACTCTCCTGTTCAATGAAAACAGTTCAAAGAACAATTCCCCAGCTTCTCACTCAGTATGATGTCAAACAACTGTGATATGGTCCATTGTGCAAAAGTCGCGCATTATAATTTAGTCAAAAAAAAATTAAAGTAAATTCCTACGTCAGTGTTGGCATATAGGCACAATGGTAAAAATAATGCGCAAAAAAGGAAGACAAAATCATACTACAAGATAGTGCAGATCTGCTTAGGAACTTCACTACCAAAAAGAGTAGTACAAAATTAGGATTTAGGGTGTGTTCGTTGATCTGGGTTCCTAACCCATCTCCCTCGTTTTCCGCGCGCACGCTTTTCAAACTATTAAACGGTGCATTTATTGCAAAAAGTTTCTATACGAAAGTTGCTTAAAAAAATCATATTGATCCATTTTTGAAAAAAAAATTGCTAATACTTAATTAATCACGTGCTAACGGACCGCTCTGTTTTCCGTGCGGAGGAGTTGGGTTCCCAACCCGAAGTTGCGAACACAGTCTTAAAATGATTCTGTTCATTATTAGAGCTGTTTCAAAATAGGATAACAGAATGAATTGTTTACACATACTATGCACAAATCCTTGAGCCCTTTATCAATCCATCATCTTGTATACTATACCAGTGGAGGCCAAAATATTTACCTTAATTGGATTGTCAGGAGCTTTGGAGGAGCTGCGGTTCTTTTGTCTCACAAATATCTACACCAAAAAAATTATTTTAGCAAACAAGCATGCCTCATACCCCACAAAAGCCTTAAAGACCTTTACCAGCTAAAGATAAGGCTAAAGTAAGCATATACCATAATTGGAATGTAGCAAAATGCTTAGGTGTTCTAATTGCAGAAGGGATTAGAGATAAAGAATCCGGTTCACAGATCACTTGTGAAACACAAAGAAAACACAATACTCCCTCCGTTTCAAATTACTTGCCTTCCCTAGTATTCAATTTTTGTTTATCACAATACTTGTCATTCTCACATACCAAAGTACTTTATAGGTGGCATTCCCTCCCTATCCTTCATCAATGCAGTCACAACCTCTCATCGGCTCATCTCAAGTCTCAACTAATCAGACTTAATGGCTGCTTTGGGGAAACAATTGGGATGTACTTAATGAGGGTAACAATGTAATTTGCCAGATTTGCTAAAATGATAAGTAATTTGAAATGGAGGGAGTACATATAATTTTCCTTTTCAAATTTTAGGTCATCACTAGTGCCAGCATGTCAACAATACTCTAACTACAAATATTTAGAAGGTGTTCTATTTAATTTTGCAGGTAATCGGATGAAGTATTTTATTAGATGGTATGTCTAATGAATCACAGAAAATGATAGATTACTGAAAGAAAATATAAACAGGGAAAAAAATTCCATGCCCAGGTAAGACTTCATGATAAACAAACAAAACAACATACTAACAATTATACCTGATGCTTCGATTTACATGGAAGAAATCGTTTTTGTATTGCTCCCCAGTCGTTATTGTATTCCAAAAGTCCAAGAGCTAATAATCTACAGACAGGACATAAACTAAAACGTAAACAACTGTCAAGACAAAAATAGCACTAGTTTGTCACATTAGGTATGCGAAAACCATGCATTGAAAAAGGGACAGTTATGTTATTTTTTGTCTTGTAAGTGGTGATATGTAGCAAACATAATACCACTAACCATATTAAAAGGAAATCTTAATATATAAGGAATGGTCAAATACAACAATTTCAGTCAATTGACTAAAATTCATACAATTCCAGTAAAACAGAAATAGTGTGCGTGCTTGATCAAATACTACCAAACCTGCACAGTGCACACTCAGCATACATTGATCTTGTTTATTCTTAAGGCCAATAGGAAGGAAGTGTTGATCAAACTTGATCAATAGATTAGAACTAATAAAAAAGTAATCACATCGTATGAATTTATATTTTTTTTAAAAAAAAAGAAGTGTCAGAGAAGATGTAAGCATACCCATCCTCCGCATCAGTGAAGAGCACTCTATTGGCCATAGCTGTAGGAGGTGGCTTATGAGGAAATAGTGAAGAATTGAAAAGTGGGAAGAATCTCTCTGCTAATCTTGCAATATCAGATGGAACAAGGGCAACAGACTCCTTTTTTGTATTCTCAACAAGGGTAGCAGCTAATGTTTTCTTCTGCTGTGACTTCCCAGATGTATCTGGTGATGAGGACACACTATTTGATCTGCCTTGAGAAACTTTGTTGGCATCTTTACAAGTGTTAAATACTGTTGTAGGAAAAAGAGGCTCTTTCTTAAAGCGATTTTTGTCAGCAGTGCCATCTACATGGCTTTTCCTATACTTCACAACAGCTGCCAATAAGAATAATTGTTAAGTGATGACAAACAAAAGGAAGAATATTGATGCAAGAGCTCATACAACTATATTGAGGAACTTACCGTCTGAAACATCCTTTAAATAACCAAGGGCCAAATGAAGTGGTGAGACATCCAGGATGGACATGACAGGACTCTTAATTAATGGCATCCATTGGTATTGTAAGGTCTCAGAAGAAGAAAAACCAAATGAAGAGCGTAGATGCTGTGGTTCAAAACAGAATTGCCGGTGAATAGTGCTTCTACTGGCCAGTGCTCGATCACAACAGCCAACCAACTCAACTATCATCTTTTTAACATCAGTAGCTAGTTGTTGTTTAGATGGGTCAAGAACACATAAAGAGAAGGTTTGAATCAGGAGCTGAACATGCTCGTATATCAACATATGCAGTCGACCAAGCTGCTGGTCACTAAATCCATTTGCTAAAGCAGCACCATTTACTGGCATCAATGACGAAGGGATGAAGGTACTCTGTGAAGGATACTGCCACCCATAAGGTTGGCCAGAAGCAAGCAGTTCAGGCGAGATATATGGCAGAATTGGTCGTAAAGAAGATTTGGTCGATCCATAATGTTCATTGGCTGCTCCTGACAACTCTGTGCACGGTCTATTTTTCCTGGTCTGACGCCTACGGCCGTCTTTCTCTTTCATAATATTTGTGTCTTCATAGTTCTCGGCATTTTCATCACCATCGCTTTCTAGGGCCTCCTCAATTTCGAGCTCAAAATCAGCATCATTCTCATCTTCATCTTGGTTTTCATCTCCCTGACATGCCTGTGTGCCATCATCTCCACCAGATAGGACAGCTGCAAGAAACTTACGATATTCCTCTTCCTCATCAACATTCTGCAGGTCACCATCATCATCTGATTCTTGGAGAAAGGTCTCTAACTCCTCTAGTGATTTATTCGCTAGAGAGTATCTTGCTCGAGTCCGCCGGCAGATCGCATCTTCCTCACTACCTTCAAGCAAGAGGTTATGAGAATCCTTTAATGAAGGAGAGCAAGCAACTTCACTTGGTAAGGCCTCTTGTTCCAATCCATTCAAGCAACCATCCCCATTCTCACAAGGAACCTGGGATGAAGTGCTTTCTGGATTAGTTTCTTTGCAGGTATCTTCAGAAAGCAATGCACTTTGTGGGAGTGCACAGTCACCCGTGTGTTCATTGACAAAATTACCATGAGGATATACCTCACTACTTCTTTGATCATCAAAACTAGTCTCCTCGCATTCTGCCTCTGAGGTAAGGCTCGATGAGGTCTCAGATGGAGAACCTTCTCTGAGAAAAGGGTTGAAATCCATGTCATCCTCCTCCACATCATCATCAACTTCCATAATAAATGTTGCAAGGGTAGTTCAAAGTGTCAAATTGACTACACCCTGCCATCCATTAAGTGAAAGTGGATGTGTTAACAATCTTAAGACATTATGTTTGCTAGAAACATTGAAAATTACAACACTGAGTAAATAAGAAAAGATCAACAGTACTTATCCAATGTGAAAATAAGGCGCACACGATCACACAAGCTACATTGTAAAAATACCAGTAAGGACCTGATTGGGAAGCTGCATACTAGAAAAGAAAAAAAAACAGGTAAGTTTTGGGTACCAAAAAAACACCAGTGGAATCAAAATCGCACTTAAGCTGCATGTTTGGGAGGAAAACAAGTGCTAAGTCTATTATCTATATAGCAATTTTAAGTTGCATCATCAATTTGGAACTACAAAACTGAACAAATAAAAGAAAAATTCAGATCATATAATCGAAACAAGTCCCCAATTCTTCACCATCAAGATGAGTTGAACAATTGCATGATTCACCAAACAGATAGGAACAAATACTAATAAAGCATGGAACTAGACATGGGGGGTTTCGCAATTCTTACTTGGATGCTACCTCGACGACGAGCGCCAAAGCGGATCGAGGCCGTCCGCGGCGTCCGCGGGGCACAGCTGCCTCCCGAACGCCCGCTGCTTCTTCTTACAAGTCCCTGCGCCGCTCGCCGCCCTCCGCGCGCCTCGCCGTCCGCTCCTTCCCGCGGAAGGGGCTAGGGTTCGCCGCTGCTGCCGCCTCCGCCACGGCTAGGGAGAGGGCCGCCGCTCGCGGCCGGAGTGACGAGGAGAGCAGCGCCGCGCCGCGCCGCCGGCAGAGCCTAGGGTAAACCCTAGTTTTTTGACGAGAGGGAGAAAGTGAGACGGGGAGGGAGCGATTCCCATCCCCTCGAGTTGCACGCGCGGGTGCGCATCGGTCGGTCGAGCCAGCCGAGCAGCCCAGTGGGAATCGCCCGTTTCCGCCGGGCCTCATCACGAATTTGCATGGACTGGTTCCTATATACTCCCTCTGTTTCGTAGTACTCCCTACGTATTAAAATATCTGTTTCGTATTACTCCCTACGTATTAAATATTTTAATGTATGACGTCGTTGACTTTATAACTAACGTTTGATCACTTGTCTTATTTAAAATTTTTATACAAATATAAAAATACTTATGTCATGCTTAAAGAACATTTGATGATAAATCAAGTCACAATAAAATAAATTATAATTACATAAATTTTTTTAATAAGACGAAAGGTCAAACGTTTGTCAAAAAGTCAACGGCGTCATACATTAAAATATGGAGGGAGTATAAAACTTTACAGCATTGTCCATATTCATATACTCTCTCCGTCCCAAAAATAACTTAACCTAGGAGGAGTAAGTCCCCTCCTAGGTTGAGTTATTTTGACACATAGATATGTTTAGATTCATTAACATATATATATATATATATATATATATATATATATATATTAATGTGGGCAATGCTAGAAAGTCTTATAATATAAAACGGAGGAAGTATATCCATTGTTGTCTGTGAGTGACTTATGATGGTACAAGGTTTCGAGGTGGAGGAACTTGGAGTATAATTTTAGAGAGTTTTTACCATTTTTGAGGGAGGGAGGTACGTAATAATTAGATGACTCGTATGTTTAGCTATTGATCCAGTTTAAGTGGACAGCTTATATGTTTGGCCACTTGGTGGTACCTCTTGTACACCCGCCTAGTACCATCTCTCTTAGAGCATGGCCAGCGGATACGCTAACCGTCCCTCCATCCATCATTTGGCGTATAGAAGGGAAAAAACTGCCTCCAACAGATGCTCTAACCGGTCCTCCAAAAGTGGCGCATGCGCCATACTAGGAGAGAGAATATGCAAAAATAGCGTATCTCTCTCCTCACGCTATTTTGCAACAGCCGCCTCTGGATCGAGATCCCGCCCCATCCGGACTTCCGCAACCACCTCCCTTCCGGCACGACCTCACCTCCGGCACGACTTCCCTCCATCGCCGTCGTCCCCAGCCGGCGAAGGTGAGTTTCCCGTGCCTGTTTTTGCTTTTTTTTTTCAGCAATTGGTGGAGCGAGACATACCAAATGTGAATCACCGTCGACCTGCGCCCGCCGCCTTCCTCCTCCGGCGTGCGCGAGGCCCCTCGCCAGCCGCCGCCGCCCCTCGGCCACACGCCCCTCGGTAGCTCGCCTAGCGCCGCCCCTCACTAACCCGCCGCTCCTCACCTGTTGGCTCTCCTCCGCTCGTGAGTTGCTACCGGCGAAGGAAGAGAAAGAGGAAGAGAAGAAAATAAGGTGAAGAGAGTGGATGGTGAGGTGAAGAGAGGAGGTAGTGGATGGAAAGGAAGAGGAAAAAGGGGGAAGAATGAGAAACAAATAGAAATATTTATTTTGTTATAACTTTTCTCTTGTTGTACACTTTACTTATTTTGCTATGATTACAAATATATTCATTTCAAACATATATTTAGTCATTCAAAATATAACCCTTGTAAAAGAAATTACACAAATAAATGCATGGTTAGTTGGAAGATATTAATAAAATATGGAAGAATGTGATATGGAGAATACAATTTGGATGATCTGTTGGAGTGAGAAGGGATATGGAGAAGGAATACTTTTTATGGCCATTCATATGGAAATATGAAGGATCAAATTTGAATGAGCTGCTGGGATGCTCAGAGCACATATGAGTTGAATGAAAGGGTACATTTGTATTATCACATACTCATTTGTATTATCATTTGTATAAAGACTTGTTCTTTTCTCCAACAAGAGTTGGATAAAGATAAAGATTTTCGTGGCATGTGACGGAGCGTGGGGCTCCTCACCGGGAGACCGCGCAGGCCCACCTTTGCCGGTTCGGCCGGGGGCCCTGGGTGAGATTCTAAGCTCCTAGTCTTTGTGTGGAAGGTTCGCGAGAATGGAAACACACAAGACACGGGCGATGTATACAGGTTCGGGCCGCTGAGAAGCGTAATACCCTACTTCCTGTGTTTTTGTGGATCTATGTATGAAGAAGCTACAAAAGAGCTGGAGAACCAGAGAGCTCTTACTCTCTCCCTCTCTGATCCTTCTGGATCCGAAAATCCTCCCTCTTCTAATTGGGCAAGGTCCTCCTTTTATACCTCAAGGGGATACCACATGCACCATCTCTCTCTTTTTTGTGGGGACTTATCCTATCTTTTCATAAACAGACGGAGACTTGTATGGTTGCCGTCCGAATGACCTTCTGATGGGACAGCCTGTCGGTGACTTGGGACCGGGAGTATCATGACTTAGAGACTTGAGGCAGACACGATCACCCACGTGGCCTAACCCCCTCGGGGGGGGGGGGGTCGGGCCCGAGGGTGATACGGCCGCCCTTCTCTTTGTCTCCCCGAGGGTTCGGACCGCTCCCGTCTCGACCCCGAGGGTCGAGGCGCCCCGACCCCTTGTGGGTTTTGCGCCGCGTATATGGGGTAGGTGAGCATAGCGGGGCTCACCTAACCACATTTATTGCGGTTTGGACGAGCGCGTCACGCCACATGTAACGCAGTGCAGCGCGCTCGTTTATCCGGTCAGTGACCAGTCACAGACCGATCAGATCGTGGGTTAGGTGGCGACAGGCGGTCTGACGCACGCCTCGCCCCATCCCGTCAGGACGAGAGCCTCCAAGCACTCGTCCCTAGCCGGAGCCGGCGTGTTAGCTCCTGGAGATGGCACGTTGGTTCCGGTCAGATATATGCCAGGCTTCATCCTAACCATTACAGGCAAGATATTGTATGAAGAAGGGCGAACATGCAGATTTATAAACTGACACGTGGTGGACAAGAATGACCGATTTGTGACCGGTCTGACACTGGTCATGTCGTCAGCAGACAGCCATTTTCCCACGTCGCGCCTGCTTCCGGCGGAAGTGGAGGTAGGTATGGGCTGTCCCATCAGAAGGTCATTCGGACGGCAACCATACAAGTCTCCGTCTGTTTATGAAAAGATAGGATAAGTCCCCACAAAAAAAAGAGAGATGGTGCATGTGGTATCCCCTTGAGGTATAAAAGGAGGACCTTGCCCACTTAGAAAGGGGAGGATTTTCGGATCCAGAAGGATCAGAGAGGGAGAGAGTAAGAGCTCTCTGGTTCTCCAGCTCTTTTGTAGCTTCTTCATACATAGATCCACAAAAACACAGGAAATAGGGTATTACGCTTCTCAGCGGCCCGAACCTGTATACATCGCCCGTGTCTTGTGTGTTTCCATTGTCGCGAACCTTCCACACAAAGACTAGGAGCTTAGAATCTCACCCAGGGCCCCCGGCCGAACCGGCAAAGGGGGGCCTGCGCGGTCTCCCGGTGAGGAGCCCCACGCTCCGTCATCTGGCGCGCCAGGTAGGGGGCTTTGCGTGTGTTTTTCTAAGCTCTCGCATTCTTTCGTGTGCGCCAAGCTTTTCCTGTTCAGCCCAATGGCCGAACAAGCAAAGGCGCACAACCTCTCTCCGAGTGTTAGCGGTGACGACGGGGAGCCGAACCCACGCCGTCGAGCTCGTACTCCACCGCTCCCTCCACGCCAAAGTCCTAGGCGGGAGGAGGCGCTCGAGAGGGTCGAAGGATCCGCGACTTCGACATCCACGGGTGATGGGGAAGGGCGGCGAGATGGGGAGCGTCGCCTCCTCGTCTACGGCGACGGCAGCACGCCCCAGGGCGCGCTCCAAGCTGCGGGCGCGCTCCTACGTCACCCGCCCATTGTCCCTGACCCGGAGTCTCCAGCCCAACGTTGGCTGGACGACGTGGCCAACTTGGTCATGACGGCACGGCAGCGCCTAGGTGCTGGTGGGCGGTCCTCCGCCACCAAGACCTCTGGCGCTGCTACCACCGGCTCCGTGTCATCAAGGCGGAGGGCGCGGCGAGCGGCGGCTGTTGCTCGCCATTCAGCCGCCACTCCTTCGTCAGCACCTCCGACCCAGGAAGATCTGCGTGGGGGGCCGGATGCCCGCATCAGTATCGAGCGCCGGCGTAATGGCCGACGTGCTGCCCACGCAACGGAGGGCGCCTCCTCGTCCGGAGTGTCACATCAACACGGACGCGGGGATCAGCCCTCCGTGCCCCCGGTTGGTGGTGTCGGCTGTAGAGCCTTTGTGGCGAGCCTTCGGAACGTCCGTTGGCCCCCAAGGTTCCGGCCCACCATCGCCGAAAAATATGACGGGAGCGTCAACCCCGCCGAGTTTCTCCAGGTCTACACGACCGGGATCGAGGCCGCCGGGGGTGACGACAGGGTCATGGCGAATTTCTTTCCCATGGCCCTGAAGGGACAGGCACGGGGTTGGCTAATGAACTTGCCACCCGCGTCCGTCCACTCTTGGGAGGATTTGTGCCAACAGTTCACCATGAACTTTCAAGGCACATATCCGCGCCTAGGTGAAGAAGCGGACTTACATGCAGTCCAGCGAAGGGATGATGAGTCACTTCGCTCATACATTCAGCGGTTCTGTCAAGTCCGCAACACCATACCATGCATCCCTGCACACGCGGTGATCTACGCGTTCAGGGGGGGGGGTGTGCGGCACAACCGCATGCTCGAAAAGATCGCCTCCAAAGAGCCCCAGACTACCGCGGAGCTTTTTCAGCTCGCGGACCGAGTGGCTCGTAAGGAAGAGGCATGGACCTGGAACCCCTCCGGTTCCGGTGTGGCAGCTTCGGCCGCCCCCGGATCCGCTGCTCGGACAGGGCGGCGTGACAGGAGGAGGAAGAAGAGGTCAGCCCATTCCGACGACGAGGGTCATGTCCTCGCCGTCGAGGGCGCTTCGCGGGCCACCCGAAAGGGGAGGCCTGCGAGCGACAAAAAGAAGGAGGCCGGCGCTCCCAGTAGGGAGCGCCCAACCGGCAAGTGGTGCATCGTCCACAACACCTCCCTTCACGACCTCGCGGACTGCCGCGCAGTCAAAAGTTTGGCTGAGCGGACGAGGAAGTGGGAGGAGGAGAG